AAAAATGCCATATTATTCATAATTAAGCTAACTAATTTGAAAATAACAACCAATGTTCAGCGACTTTACTGCAGACCGCTGTTTAAACTAGTGCTTTTTTTACCTTACCTTTTTGTAGAGACTGTGTTTTTTTTGTACCTTCTTCTATACATTTTATTTAAAACTGAAAATGCTACGAGAATTAGTTTCATTGAAAAATGGGCCAAAAGTGCATTATTTTGTTAAAGCCTTTTAAGCAAGATATATATAAAGCCAATATATGATTTAAATGTTATCAAAATCAGATGCATAATTGAGCCGTATCCTATATCTCTTATTCTGGGGAAAGTAACTGAGAACTGAGAACTTTAACTCCACAGTCTTCAATGACTATGACGTATCAAATGGATGGACTACAACAATAATGCAGAGTTTAATGGATGTTTGTAAAAATTTATTGCCTGAATGAATCGATTATGGAAATATAAATGAAGGGATCAAACGTTATACATCTCAGTAGCTGTCAGTAAATGGAAAGGTTTGTTTTCAAACTTAAACAATGTAACATTTCTTGCTAATGCCCTCCATACAGTGTACGTTATTACTGGGTATCCTGTAATGATGCACTTCCTATTGCAAATGAATTTACATCTGAATCGAAAATTGTCCTCTCAAAAGTACTTAGTCCTCTGTACTGTTAAATACAGAGAGGTAATAAATCCATTTTCTTAAAGTTCCTGCTTTAGTACGATGCAGAACATGGATTGAATGCTACTGTTCTTAAAGAAATTAACAAAAATTTAAAAAAAAAATTGTTTTTATCGTTCATTTAATCAGAAGCAGAAGCAATAACAAAAATGTAAGGGATTGTAAATGATAATCTTGAGAACAAGCTGTTTCTAGTGAACAGCTATAAGCTTATTCTAGTGTACATTAAAGAGTTAGATGGTTTGGTTTAATTTATTTGATTATTGTAAAGTACGCTACAACTCCTAACAAGAGGGATGCCTTCGTGGAGGACTTTCTAAGAGAACTGGCTCGTATCCATGTTTCATACGAGGAAAACCACGAAAACGCCCATGAAGCCAGTTCATTAGCTTGTGGTCGAACCCAGTTTGAAGAACCAATGTTCAGCGACTTCACCGCCAGGCCGCTGCTAAAGAGTTAGAAATAGCCTTTTAAGAAGATGCTAAAGTGGATATCCTAAAAGAAAGCTCGAAGTCAATCTATCAAAAAATTCTAATGTTGCAAAGCTTGCTACGCATCCAGATGTTTACATTGGAGTTAAAAGTAGAAAAGTATTTTTTCCATTTATAACACAATTTCGATGCCAAATCGACAAAATTTGTTACTTTAGAATCCTTAAATTTTGAGTCTGATTAATGAATTTCCTTTTAGTAAGTGTATCATTAATAAAAGAAACCTTTAACATGACAAGTTACATTTGTATCCAAATTCGCACAGCATATATTGTTAGCCTAGCAGGCTATTTTTATTACTAGTCTGGATAGGTTCAAGTATAGGTAAAAGTAGGGGGGACACCAAACCATGTAGCATGGGCCAACTGGTAATGCCTTCCCTTACTAAGGGCATGAGCATCTTAAGTTTTCCAAAGGATCTACAATTAACCTGTGGTATACTGTGCAATCCCATCGTGCACCCCGCATCCAGTATTTAATAAAAATAATGGTTTAGGACATAACAAGATTACAATATAATTTGAAATTCAAAAATTAAACTGAGAACATTTCTTTTGATGTAACAAAAATAACAGACAAGCATAATGAGAAAAACAGAATAACTACTGCAAACACAAAATTATAGTTATAATGAACTGTAGTATACAAAAAAAGTGTCCACGGGGTCAAATCGTTTGAAAAATAACATAAAACATTGTGAGTAAGAATCTGAGAGCTCAGGGATTGGGGAATGCAAAAACTGAGAAAACAGAAAATAGTTTTGAAAAATAATAATAAATAAACTAAATAATTTTAAAATAAGAAATTAAAAAAATAATTTTTAATTTTAAATAATTTTTTAAAAAATGTACTTAAATTGTATGTTGGAGCAGATTACAGCTTGTTAATTTCAAAAGTGGAATCCTTTTGAACATATTCACAGGATGTAAAAATTCATTATATATATGCAGCATGATGAACTTATACTTGAATAAGATCTAGGCCGCCGTAAGAAGTGCATCTTATAATTTTTTGAAACTGAGGATACCGATGTTTACCTTTAATTACACACTTTTGGAATGCCAGCAGCTCAGTTTATGGGGATTTTATGTGATTAATCTCAGTTAAGGTGCATGAGCAAGTGTAATGAACAGGAATTCCCTGTTAATCACATATACCATATTTCTTGCGTAGAAATATGTGGGGACACGTCCGTGTCCTGTTATTTAGTAATTTAATGAAGGAATTTAATATAAATACGCGAAGCTTATATCATATTACATATGCATCTTCCCTCGAAACATTATTCCAAGAATCCTGCCAATATTTTAAAGTAAATTGTTTTAGTTGGCATTTGAAATCTGAACATAACCGTGGAAGGATGATTTCAAATGCATCTTGATTAAGAGCTACTTCTTTGGCTCATATGTCTGATCATTACCAAAATTGCAATGCATTCAGATTCGGTCGCATGCTTTCTAAAGAACACAACTTTTATGTATAATTGAATGAAGTAACAGTTTGGGGTGACCTAGTGGTACATAAAACTTTGGTGGAAAAAATAAAACTCTTAGTCCACATGGCTTTATGTATCCAAATATATATAAATTAATTACGATATAAAATGCTAGGCAGATAGCCCTCTAGTACTTAGCCATAATCAAATAAACCAAACAAAACCAATCTAAAAAGCAAATGTAATATTATATTTGCATTATTTATCAATGTCTTACAAATATATTACATAACATCAGGAATATGCTAATTAAAAAATAACAGCGCAGTCAAAAACAACATTTTTTATATGGTGTCGCTCAGTGTGTTAAACATTAAAAATTTGGAATTCACCTATGTTGTTTGCCTATATTTCTGCACATATCGTGACGATGTTTTTCCAGTATTTAATAATATTTGTAAATATAAAAATTTTAAGTTTAACGGTTACATCTAACTTACCTGTCTTGATCAACAGACCGTGTGATTTTTTCCTCGGCAACTGCTTTTTTCCTGCACCTACTCGGGGACTTTATAACTGAAATAACTCTTTATTATGACTATCAATCCAGCTACACCGAGTGTAAGGTAAACCATATTACAAGATGGATGTTTGTTATGTCATGAAACGAGAACACATCGAGAATTTATATAGTGTATAAAATATTTTGAACGTTTTCCCTGCCCATTACCAGTAAGCATCCCTATTTTTCGTTTCAATAAAAAACTACGCGCTGAATTCAAGGGTAATCATTACCCATTCTGTTATTCAACAAGATATAAAAAATAAACTTACTCATTGTAAAGCTGCTATAATGAGAAATTACTATGTTATTGTGTAAAACCTATATTATGCAAATTTCTGTTTCGGATCAATTCGTAAAATTATTTCTAAACTATTTAAATTCTTTAAGCATTATATTTTCCCAAACCCTTCGTATTTAAGTTTTTCTCTAAACCTGAATGCATATAACTAAATGTTAACTTTGAGATATCATATCCAAAGAATTCACATTCTGTGATGGTTTTGATAATGATACATCAAGAGAACACAAAAAAAGTACACATACACAAGCATAAAATGTTTCATCTTTTAATAATATATATGTCTCTGTCCTCTCTTACCGAACAGCGTACCCAGAAAAATTGTCTAGTTTCTTTAACTAATTTTTTTGTTTCCACCTTCTGTACAGATGCAAGTCCCACTGGTGTGCTGAACAACTATGGGACAGCAAAAGGTTTACAGGCATTATAGCATAAATGATGTTGCCTCTTCTGTACAAGGGTAAATATAACACAAAAGTACAAACCACTAAGATCATCAAATAGTATTAAGAAGCACAGTATCGAGCCTTTTCAATAGGCAGTAAGGAACACTGAGAAATACACACTAATTATGGCATAAACAAATAATATGCTAGTAATTAGCAGTTATAAAACTCCAACAATAAAACTGATAATATTATGAAAAAATAAGAGTGCAAAATAATCTAATGACTCATTTTGCAAAATATAATGAAGAAATTTCTAGTGGGATAACTTGTAATGTAGAAAATACTTTTTATATAATGAAACGAAAATAAATAAAATAAAATTTAAAATAATAAAGTATAATATCAATTAAGATGAAATTATATAGATTTAATAGTATAGAGAATTAAATAATTTTCATTTTAGTAGGGTTATAAAATCTACATGAAATGTCTTGAGTAAAAAAATTACATTTTCTAAGAACCGTATATCTTAATCAAAACTGTACACTTTATCTTTCCAGTGGAAGCAGTTTTTAGTAAGTTTTACATTAACTCTGTCAACATAAAAGAAAGTTAATATTGTGATCAGAATAGCAGTGAGTGATATTCATGCTTTTTGTTATAAAGTTATTAAGAATGAAATAAAATAATCTATGAAAAAAATCACAAAAATAAGCTTTATTTTGAAGCAGGATTGGGATAAAAAAGTGCCTTTTGTTTTAGATAACACAATATCGTATTTTTCTTCCATATGGCAATATAGTTACTACTACACACATTAAAAAATACTGTTAATTACACTAATATAACTAATAACTAATAAAAGAAGCAAAATATTTTTATAAAGAATATAATATGTAATTAACAGTTGTAGTTTCAAGAACTACGCTGTCAATTGCAAATTTCATTTTTGAAAATAATTGAAATAAATATTTATTATAAAATATGTAAGTAAGTCTTAATTCTTATAATAGAAATAAAACCTAAAGATAAGTGTTTTATTGACTTAATAAATGACTGAACTGCCATTTTTAATTTACATAAAATTAAAAAATATCATCTAATTGACACTTAAATGTAGAAATAAATTTTGCACTTTCCGAATCTCAGCACTTTTTTAATACAGTTGAAATCACAATGTAACATTTATGCAAGAAACATATAAGCACTTTAACACAATTTACAATGAAATAAAATGCCAACCAGGAAAGAGTTCACAGACAGTTACAAATCTCACACAGAACATTTGTAAAAAATTTAAGGGAAAAATGTATGCTCACTCAAACAGTTTATTTCACCTATAAAAGCACCTTAGAGAGTTTGAGAAATCAAGCAAAAGCACTGGCACTATCCAATAAATGAAATTAAATATGAACAGAAGAATTATACACAACTATGCTATCAGTGAAATGGTACACATATTGTCTCCCAAAGCCAAATTCTTGGGCTGAACATGAGTACATCCCATCCCTAAGAAATGGCAAATATCACATTCAAGAAAATGAATAAAGATTTATTAAAGGGTTAGCTTCTGGCATATTAATAAAATTTCCTGAAAATATGAAAATTTTCAAGCTCAAATTTTTAAAAAGTGATAAAAAAACTTTTTCTATACAGGGAAACACCAAGTCAAATAACTTAACACTGCAAGAGCAAGATAATTTCAGGTCAAAGCAGCCAACTTGCAAAACACCTAAACTCTAAGCACTCTCATTATTTGGCACATGCAAAGTGAATTGTGCACTTGGGTAATGAGGAATACAGATGAGATTTTATTATTCCTTATCTTAATATACAACATTTGAGCTTACGCTTATGTAAAAAAAACTCTTTTTTTTTTTTAAGATGATATAATCAGTATAATCGTGGTGTCATAATACAATGTTTGTGTGTGCATTGAACTATTACAAGATCTTCTACAAAAGATTTGTGCCAGAAAAAGGCATTAATGTACATGAAATGCTGACCACTTTGACCAACAATACATGTAAGATACATAAATGATGATGCTAAAAAACTATTAAGACACAAAACTGTGTAAAGATGACAAATAAATACATACATATCTCAAATTTCCAAAATTAGGACAATTTCTCTTCACAATGAACATGTAAGGCAGTTAGTTTTGTTTTACTAAGTTTTACAATATCAACAGTTTTCTCAACCTTATATGTATACATACATACATATGCACACACACATATGCATATATAAATATATATAAGGTAAAGATCTAGAATAGGTAATATATATCATGTTCGTTTATGAATTATGCATTTTATATACTAGATAGAATTCAGTGCTTGAATGGACAGGTTATCGGGTAAAATATATTGCACGATAAATACCGGCTGTTCACTTAAAATGGTCTCAGTCCAGTCAATAAATACTTTTGGTCTACGAGGGAAATTATGCAATAACCCTCTTTTTATTTTTATAATTTTTAATCCATCTTCTCAAAATGGTTATAGACTAGCTTTCATTAAAGCACCCCTAAGTTACAGCAGTTACGTTGTACAAATACAAAACTGATCAATTACAACAATTGTTACCACTTTTACAGATAATTAGTAAACACAAACAAAGCTAGAGACAAAATATCTTTGCAAAGCAGAAAAAAATTAATAATGACAAATACTTGCTAATTTTAGTACATAAAGCAAAGAAATATTTTAAAAGGTAACCATAATGTATTAAAACAAATAAACAGAAAAAAAATTGAAACACAATTCAAGGTATACTAAACACACCAATCTGACATGCCAAGCTCTGTACAAGGGACGGTTAAGAACGATGACACCCTGCAAAATATTAAGCCTTGAAAATTTCTTTCTTTTTTGTGCTTTTTTTTCACACAGTGCATGGTTATATAGCACACCTGAAGTAAGGAAGTAGTTCCTTGGATTTCCAATGAATAAAATTGTCGTTGCTGAGCCAGAAGACCACAAGGGTCAAGGGCGACATGACAGGTAGTAGTAGGACAGGGAGACGGATGTACGCCTTAAGAGCGGGAGAACAAACGGCATGGCACGTATAAGTCACCAAGTAGGCAGTCTAGGAAAGAAGAGATAAAAACAATAGGGGATGTTATACAGAAAAACAGTTACGCTGCCACAAATCTGACTGCCTGTTGAATTTATAATTATGTAACTCTACGAAAGTTTGAAATTATAATAGTTAAATTTAAATTCTTTAGCAGATTGCTAGAAAATTAGATTAGTATAATTTGTATAATTCAACAGTATTAAAATTACTGAAACCTTATTTTATTATAAATTACTAGATAAAGAAATGCTGATAGCAAACTATCAAAAATATTTTATTTATAGCTGAGTATAATGCAATGCAAAGTTCACTTTCTTTTTTATTATGAAAAATAAAATTCTGAAATAAAACTTCTAATTTAAGATTTACTGGCAAGAGGCAGTAGATGTTATATCTAAATAACATAACATACAGGCCTAGGAGAGTAAATCTCCTTCTGTTAAAAAGCATCTATAGTATAATGGACACAAGCTTAAACAACATTAAGAGTTAGAATATCACATCACAACATTAAACACTTTTAACACCAAATTGTTTAATTAAATTAATTTACTTAAAAATTTAACTAAATATTAATTACATAAAATGTATTAATTTGTATATTCGTTAGAGTTCATACAAAATCTTCTGTTTGTTACAAACACAGATTCATGGATACAAAAATGAATCCGTATTTGTTGTTTCTCCACTCTATATTCAAAATTTATTTTACATATTTTAAAGCAATTTTTACAAATATATTTTAGATATTATTAATTTATGAGAAAAATCTGAATATTACCGTAAAGTATTCATGCAACTTTTGTATTTAGAATAATGATAAACTAAATTAAAATTTATATAACGTTAGATGAAAATATTTAATCTATGTTTGTAAGGATCCTAAGTTTTACTAACGTTTATTTTATTTTAAAACTGTACTATCACTTCTTATTTTCTACTTCCGGCCGGAATTAAATGCTTTAACTTGTTTATGCAAATTGTCTTGCTAACGCCCAAGTATTTAAGTTATGGCTTTTTGCCAAGAGTTAGGGGAGAGAAATGGAGATTTAGGAAGCAAGCCGCTTGCCACTGCAGTTTTACGAGTTTTCACTCGGTTGCTGGTTGCCTTTAAGGCCAGAGGTTTAGCCCTCTTGATATTTGAAAACGTATTTTAGTTTCAGCAGCTCGGCGTACTACATACGTACCCTTTTAAATAAAGGCCAGTCTTAGTGCTAGGCATTTGTATACTAATTCAAAGTTAGCTTTTAGTTAGAGTTTTAGTTAGTAGTGTTAGTAGTTTATATTCTTTACGTTCAGACCACAAGTGGTTGGTCTCTGTATCCCGAACTTCGGGAGTACCTGTAAAGTATTGAAAATAAAGGGTTTCGTATACCCTTCCTGCTTGTGTTGTCTACTCCACACATTGTTGAACATAGCTCGAGTAAGCTCCCTGTTCCTATTCAGGACACATCATGTTTCCAAAGCAAATAAAGAGAAACACAAGTCCTGACATGTTAGTAAAAAACTCAACATTGAAAAAAAAAAAAAAAAAGCCTTAAATTCCGCAGCATATTTCCGAACGCATTTCAAGGACATTAAAAAGTGCATACATTAGGAGGCGAATAAAAAATATTAAATATCTTCTGATTAAATAAAATTTTATAAAATAATAATAGTCATTAATCTCTTAAACCGCACTAAATAGCTTCTCAGGGAAAATAATGCTTGAAAATACTTCCTTTGTATAAGTATTCATCATGAAAAGGGGTCGAAAGTTCTGAAACAAATTTCACTAACTTTACAGTAAATAATTCTCATAGAACTAGCAAATGAATTTACGCTGGAAAGAACATTGACATGTACGTGATAAAGTATTATAAGTCTCTATATATTGCTATCAATTCTTAAAAAGTCAAAAATGCTAAATGATTTATGCAGATTTATTAGTTTAAAGAACATATTAACTAACATATAATTATCATTAACGAATGGTACAAAAACTGAATGGCAATACTCAGCGCTATATCAATAAATTAAATGAGTGCAGGATATCCTGACTGAAGATGGATTCAGTTACAATGTCGTTAATCCATTCTGAAGTAAGTTTAGGGCTTATTTTATTCTTAATAACTTTGAAAATGTTTTTTTAATTAGGCTTTTATTTAATCTAAAAGGGATTTACAAATGTATAAACTTCTGCTGTATTTGCAAACAATTTATATGCATACATGCAAATATGCACTACATAAATACATATTTTAGAAAATTAACCTACAGTATTCCTTTAAATCAGTTAATGTGAACAAAAACATATAAATGATGTCTTTGATTAAAAATCACAAGTGAATAAATATTACTCATTTGAATGATACATTGGAACAAAATTCTTTCATTAATCAGGAAATTCTTTAATCAAAGGTGGGGATGTTGTGCCCCGCTCATACATTAAGATCTGACTTCTTCTCTAATCAGCTTTTCAGTTTTGAGGAAACGATCAGTGCTTTCATCCATATTTCCGACAAATACCATACAGCGCTTTTATACAGCGCATGCCGACGCTGTAATGTCCACAGTGTGTTTATGCGTACAAAAACAAAGGTGTATGTATATGCAGGGAGTAAACTTAAATTAGAAGATTTTTAATCTTAATTTTTGGCCGTCGTGAAAGCGACTCGTCATAAGTCGAGCACTAACTGTATATATTTGAAATGTATTTTATCCTTGATGGTTATGTATTATATTGCTGTTTCAGTATCCTTAATATAAATAAAATAGTATTTAGACATAAAAGTAAATGAATGGAAACTTATTTGAAAACAACACAAAAGTAAGGCAATGAAGTGTGCTGGAAGATTCCATGCAATGTGTTGAGTCCTCTAATATGGAAATTATAAAATTAGATCAAAAACCTTCTGGAGCAAAGTTACAAGGAATGTATTGCCGATAAACATTAAATACATCACAATAACTACTATATTATGTATAAAATATAGCTTTTATTCCCTGAATTAAAAACTCAGTGTTTGATATGTGTGAGCGTAATGCAAGAAATTAATATTTTATTCTATAATTTCTTTCAGCAATTTTCTTTTTGGCTCCTTTCGGTATACGTTTTTTTAAACAAAACGTCGTATATTTGCCAGTTTTAATTATTAAAATGTCATAAACATTTTTCAGTTGTTAGATTCTCCATTTTTACACTCCAGATGCACAGCAGGTTAATCATCATTTTAATTAGAAGCACTCAGTGCTTCAACATTGATATGAAATAAATAGATCTTTTGATCTTCTATTCAAAATTAAAAGCTATAGTAAAATCTAGAGATTTAAATTTTAGGCTATTCAAAAATTAATACTTCTGATTGCTAAAGAAATTGTATCATTAATAGTCAAAAGCGTTAATAGAAAAGCTGGACCGTCTAGTGAAAGCTCTTGAAATAACTCAGAACTTTGTCTCTCTAACTATAAACAACCACCATGCAGCAACTTTACTGTTTTAGCTATTAAGTTTTAGTACGGAGGCATTTTTAGTAAAATGCTAAACGTTTATGGTTGTATATCTTTCCAGTTTTATGTTTGTCTTTAAATTCCACGTGGAGATAAAGAAAGTGTCTGTGCTAAAAATCTGTTTGCTTAGATTTATTTTGCAATAGAATTGCACAATTTATTTCACCGAGCAACAGTAATTGAACTCTTTATTGACTTCAAAATTACAGTACAAAGAACTGGTCTTTGACAGCGTAGAATACAAATCGCAAGAGAGAATAAGTTTTAGACATTTATAATATTACTGAAATTCCGTATTTCACCTCCCTCTTTCAGTGAGTTTATTACAAGAAATATTGCGTTATTAATAGGGAAGGTTCCAATATACGTGAGTGCTCTGATTTCTCTCTTTTCTTCTCATAACATTACCAATGCTAAATATTAAAAGTCGATTAGGCTAGTTAAACATTTCGGACTATAATTACGCACGAGCGTACACAGTTTATCTAGATTTATTACCACGAAGAACGATCTTATATTTTAGTTTAATGCATACTTTTTTATTTGGTTAGGATTTTGTATTAATGCATATAATTTTTTATGATGTTATTACAGTTATTTAATATTTAAATTTAGCAATAAAACTCTATTCACATATATCAAATAATAACACTTCTGTAAAGCTTCAAATGGATTCCGATATATTCAACAGAAAGCTTGAAAATTAAATTTTCCAATCAAAATTAATTCTACAATGCATGATAACAAATTTAAGACAGAATTTTTTTTTCATATCCGAAGGCCATTTTCAGGTATCGAAGTAATAATTGAGAGGGTACCACATCCAAAGACGTCCCAAAATCATTAATTAATTAAAAAATAGTAAAAATATCCTATGCTTCAAATTAGGCACTCCAAAACGTTTCAAGTGAGATGGGCTCTTCGTTTCATAAAAAAGCCACTGTTCCTATTAATCCAAGAAAAACTACCAAATACTAATAAGAGGGAATGATTACCAATACATATCTTAATTTCATAAAATCATCTTAATTTCATAAAATAATCTTAATTTCATAAAATCATAAAATATCGTATGGATACGGAAAAAATTAAATGCAGTTTTTTTCTTTTGATTTTGTGCAGTCGTTATCGATTGTCATAGGTTCAAAGAGTAAGAAGCAATAAAGTTTTCTTTTAGAACCTTTAAACAGGATGTTTCAATAAAAGTGTAAGTATTTTAAATACTTTTCTTAGTCTCCAGACTGGGCATTTGAGGGCTAGCTTTCGTTTCCTGCAGCAAAATCAAACATGAAAAGGAACTTTTTTAACCTATTCCAGAAATACAGGAAGTTTAATGAGAAAGGCCGTTTCAACAGCTCACTTCTAAGCAGAAGCTTTATGGACATAATAATAGAAAGCAGAGCAGTGATTTAATTGTTGTCTTGAAATCTCGATATTTTTATGGAATCCGTCCTGAAACTTTGCAGATGCAGATGGATGTATGTGTAACTATATAAGTATTTAAAATAGTTTCTCTTTCA